TCATTAAATATTTGATAATTTATTTCCTATTTTAGGCTTCAATTGCTCTATGGATAACAGTTTTGCGATTTATGGGAGACTTAACGGAACCTAAATTCCATACAATGGGAAGAGTAAGTAATGTTTGGATTATATTTTGCACAATATATTAAATGATTGTAAATATTACAAAAGGACAACACATCTGTGATGAGTAAAGTAACGGCAACTTTAGGAAGAAATTTCATTAAAAGCAAAGAATTTCAAGAATCACAGCTTTTGGGTCTCGAATTGGTATTACATTCTCTTTCTTAACGATAATGAGTTAAACACGCGATCATTAATACTAACCATTGGTTTGCTGTATAGGAGGCGGCGGAGATAAAGCCGCCGAAGTCGCGATCGATTCGCAATAAATTGGTTTCACTGACACTCAAGAAGAAGAATAAATTAAGTGAAGACGTGAGACGACGCCTACAGGACGATGACATCGCCGCCGACACCTATAGCTCATGGCTGGAGTCGAGGCCGACGTCTAATCTCGAGAAATTACATTTCATTATAGGACACGGAATACTCAGAGACGAGTTAAGGTATGTCACGCTTTGCTTCACTTTTTGTATTTGTTAAAAGTTGGTATAAATTTGGTTTTGAAATTTAAATGTCAATCAATTATAACACGTTTTAGAACATAAAATTCAAAAAGAAATTTAAAATGTAAATTACCTTGATGTAAATTCCAGTTTTGCTATTGTGTTTAGAATAGTATTGTATTTACCTATTTATTTGAATAATACTATTTGAATTTCAAACACACTTATATTTTGTATAGTTTGCAAAATTAACTTTAAAGCTTATTTTTCATTAATATTGATATGCAGTGAACTTTGCATACAGTGCTCGAGCAGATGGGGAAGTTTTTAAGCCATACAATAATATAAAGTAATATTTAGGTAGAATGTATAGGTTAAATGTGTTTAGCATGTATTTATTATATGTACATGCACAAATTCTTGTACTTTATTATATTAAAGCAATGGTTGAAAGCAAAATGATGGTTTAACCACATTCTGTTGATGAGAATAAAATTGAAATATTTAAAATAGCTATTTTAGGAATAGTTTTAATATAATTTTAATGTTGTTTTAATGTCAACGAAATTTTATTTTATTTTAAATTTTGATCGTTTGGTCGTATTTCCTACCGTATACTTATAATATTAAAACAATCTCCATATATCATTATTTCATAATATGTAATATTATTATATATTATATACTTGTGAGCTGCAACTTTTTTATAGAAAGGTTGCACAGTATACAAAATTGATACAACGCTCAAAAATTTTAGGGAGTATTTAAAAGTATATTTAAAGAATGTGTACAATCAAAGAAGATCACTAATTACTTAATTTAATAACTTAAAATAACTTAATTTAAATAAAAATTAATTTCAATAGATTTATTGTAAATTAAACCAAAATCATATTTAGAAAAATGTGTCGTTTTTAAAAGATATTAATTTGTCCTAAAAATATATACTGCATATTCTGTATGACTCAATAAATATAAAATTTTTAACTTTTTTATATTATTATTAATAATTTATTAATATGTGTTTTGTATGAGAAATGAGTTATGGGTAGCATTGGGCACTAGAGATGTTTACGGGCTAATAATTAGGGTGACCAACATATAAACTTTAAACATATCTATTGAATACTCATTTTTAATCTCTTATAATTTATTAGAAATAAATTTATATTTCTGGAAATTTCGAGAAATATATATTTTTCAACATTAATTGACTTCTGTTTCCGTTTTATTTCTATTGTTCACAAAAGCGCTCACAAATAGCAATACAATTATAAATGAGTGCCACTTGTATTGAATACACATTTATTGCTGTCATTTGTATTAATTAAGTGTTAATTTATATATTATTTGTGCCTTTAATTAGTTTTATGTCTCTATTTGTACTGGAAAAAAACGATTCAATCAATGATTTGTTGTTTTTTATTAAAATTTTGAACAATTATAACCAATATTCTGATAGGAATAATGTGGTTTATAGGTTCGTTCGGCCCCCCTCCTCCTCCCCCACCCTATGGGATTTAACATGGGATTACAGCTACTCGTTAATTATATGCAGTTATGAAATAAGATATATTTGATTTGAATATAAGGTATTTTCAATATACGGGTCATTGCTTACGAGTTGTCGCACAATAACACTATCGTTAGCACAAGAATATAATGTTCTTATATCTGCATTCACTGTCAGTGTCTTCTCTACACAGTTTGGTTGCCTTTGAGTTCAACATTGGGTTCAAATGGCATTTCACTTGTAATGGCATTTAAACAGACTATACTATAGTATGCTTTAAAGACTTGTAATTGTATTGAAATTTAATTTAAATATATTCGTGTAAAAAGAGTGTAAGTTTTTGTTAAAATTTATACATTAAACATAAATCAAAATATAAATCATTTCATTTGTTTGTTCTAAAAGATTTATATGAAATTTCTAAGCATTTATTTCCCGTATTTGTAATAATTGTATACAAAAAGACAAACCTTTTCTGAAGGAGCAAAACATCCGACGCAAAGAGACAGTAATATCCATCCTCTGGCGTGAGAGCTCTTACTTTGATTATTTGTCAATTGCTTACAGATTTGACAATAAATTTCATCTCTAATGTAATAAATGAAAGCAAAAATACAATTTAATTTTATAATAAAGTAATGTTAAACTAAAGCAATCTTTAAAATCGTCAAAAATCTAAAACTAAAGAATTTGTATGACTTTTAAGAAATTAAAATTATGAGTTGTAAATTAAAATATAATGATCATTAAAATTTTGAGTTCAAACTAACAATTTTCATTACTTCAATATAATATTCGCATAATTTAGCAATACTGTATCATAATAAAAATTTAAAAAAATAAAAACAGTATTGAATTAAATACGAAATATTATATGAATACTCTATGAATACTCTATGAAATGAGATAACCTAGACTCTAGGACGTAGAATATTATCGCAATATTACCAGATAGATTCATGTAAAGTAATATTCTGTATGTGTATTATACTCTATACAACTTTATACTTTACTGGAGTGTAAAGAAATATAGTCACAAGAAACAGAATTTGGTCATAACTCACTTTTCATACAAAACATTAATGATATACAGTAGAAAAGCCAATAATTTTATATTTATTGAGTCATAAGTATATATTTTTTAAAAACAAATTAATATCTTTTAAAAACAACACATTTTTGTAAATATGATTTTAGTTTAATTTACAAAAAATCTATTGTAATTAATTTTTACTTAAATTAAGTTAAATAACAGTTAATTAGTAATATTCTTTGATTGTACACTTTGTGTTCCTTTTAAATATACTTTTAAATACTCCTTAAGCATTGTGTACTGAGCGTTGTTAATTTTATATACTGTGCAACCTCTCTATAAGAAACAGTTGCAGCTCAAATATTACTTTATGAAATTATTATATATGGAGATCGTTTTAATATTGTAAGTATACGGTAGGAAATACGACCAAACGATCAAAATTTAAAATAAAATAAAATTGACATTAAAACAACATTAAAATTATATTAAAACTATTTCTAAAATAGCTATTTTAAATATTTCAATTTTATTCTCATCAACAGAATGTGGTTAAACCATAGTTTTGCTTACAAGAATTTGTGCATGTACATATAATAAACACATGATAAACACATCCAACCTATACACTCTACCTATACTGTGCTACTGAATGTCCTAAAAACTTCCCCATCTGCTCGAGCACTGTATGGAAAATTCACTGCATATTAATAAAAAAATAAGCTTTAACTGTAAAGTTCATTTTGCGAACTATACAAAATATAAGTGTATTTGAAATTCAAATAGTATTAAATACAATACTATACTAACACAATAGCAAAACTTGAATCTATATCAAGGTAATTTACATTTTAAATCTCTTTTTGAATTTTATGTTCTAAAACGTGTTATAATTGACTTACATTTACATTTCAAAACCAAATTTATACCAACTTTTAACAAATACAAAATGTGAAGGAAAGCGTGACATACCTTAACTCGTCTCTGAGTATTCCGTGTCCTATAATGAAATGTAATTTCTCGAGATTAGACGTCGGCCTCGACTCCAGCCATGAGCTATAGGTGTCGGCGGCGATGTCGTCGTCCTGTAGGCGTCGTCTCACGTCTTCACTTAATTTATTCTTCTTCTTGAGTGTCAGTGAAACCAATTTATTGCGAATCGATCGCGACTTCGGCGGCTTTATCTCCGCCGCCTCCTATACATCAAACCAATGGTTAGTATTAATGATCGCGTGTTTAACTCATTATCGTTAAGAAAGAGAATGTAATACCAATTCGAGACCCAAAAGCTGTGATTCTTGAAACTCTTTGCTTTTAATGAAATTTCTTCCTAAAGTTGCCGTTACTTTACTCATCACAGATGTGTTATCCTTTTGTAATATTTACAATCATTTAATATATTGTGCGAAATAAATCAAACATTACTTACTCTTCCCATTGTATGGAATTTAGGTTCCGTTAAGTCTCCCATAAATCGCAAAACTGTTATCCATAGAGCAATTGAAGCCTAAAATAGGAAATAAATTATCAAATATTTAATGAGTTATAATTTTAGACAGAACTATATAGATAATTTGTGAACAATGAATACAATTAAAATTTACATAAAGCTAAATAAAAAGTGTAAAATAAGTGTATTTAGACATACCATACAATCTCCCTGAGTCTGAAGAGGTAGAAGCGGTTGTTTGAGTGGTTTGCGTTGATATTGATGTCCGACATTCCCCTGAAAATAAGTTGTGGCAAACTTTTGAAATTTGTATTCAGACAAGTCCTCCATCTCTTCGTGAGGAACGGGTGGAACCGTTCCCTCGCCTTCAGACAAATCGTTATTCATATCGCCGTTAGACCTCTCGAGGTCTCTGAAAGCTGACGGCCCGTTATGTTCAGAGAGATTGTCAGTTCGCGGCAGAAAATCAAACATCGCGTCCACAAGTTTGGAGTCGTCCAACACTTCGTCCTGTCTGTGAACGGCGTCTGTAATGACAGCTTTCTTCTCTTCAATCTGTCGTTTCTCTTCAATTTCTGTCTCTTTCTTCTGTAATTCAAATTCTTTCATTCTTTCGACATATTTTCGTTCAGCGATTTCTTTAGCCTTTTTGGGGTTCATTTGTTTTCTTAGAAGAGATTCTTCCTGTTCTTTGAGTCGAAGCGCTTCCAAACGACTCCTGTTTTCATCTCGTAATCTATGATAGTTTTTGCGAGCAATGGCTCCCCTTATGAAGGCTTGTATTTTAAGGGCCGCTCTGTGTTTGCTTCGGAAATCTCTTCTAACGAGAAATCCGCGACAAATGGCCTGAAGTGAGACGATATGATTGCGAAGATGTTTGAATCGATTGGTCAGAACTCGGGATCTCATAAACGCCTGGAGTCTGAGATAACCCAAAACCATCTAATAATAAAACATAAAATATTCACAAATATTCACATGTGTCACCAAATAAGCGCAGGTATGTCAACGATGTCAATGATATAACAATACAATAGAAAGGAATGCTATTATGTGGGTCTCCCCTCTGGAGGGGAATGTCAGGTATAGAGAGGGTCGTCAAAACTCACCGCTTTATATTTCTTGCGTTGAATAAATCCCTTCCAATAGCGTTGGATAATAATGGCGTTATTCCTCATTCGCAAGAATCTTCTCCTATAATACCAGCCCTTAATAGCTCTCTGAAGTGTTAGAATATTTTTTGTCAAAACTCTGTCCCTCTCTTGCTCTAGAAATAAGTCGTGAGCGTCCTATCAATGGTAGACATATTTAAATTATATCATTTTATTGAAACATATATAACAATTCATGGCTGAATTAAAACAGTTTTCTGTTAGCAAATGATTGCATACCTTTAGAAATACTTTGGATTTTCCCAATTGATAGTCAACTTTTCCGAGAACTGCTGCACAGATTTTATGTGTGACTGTTTTACAATCGGGCACTTTATGTGCGGGTCCTATGCCTGGCAATAGGAATCTGTATCTGTCGATGAATTCCATAAATGTATGTCTAATGGGATAACCGGCTCTTCTAATTCTGATGGTTTCCATCATTCCTGAATATCTCAATTGCTTACAACATAAGTATCGGTCAAACATCTGAAACACCAAATCAATTATTAATAATTATAACAATTGTCTAAAATAGCAATTCTAACCATTGGTTTCTTAGTTTCGTTGGGTTTAATGCAACGAATGAAGAAGGGATGGCAATGACTTAATTGTCTCATCAAAGAATCCAATGATTTCTTAAACTGTGCGCTCAGTGTTGGAGCCTTTTTGCGGGTGTCGTTACCCTAAATACGAGAATATTATTATAAAAATGAATTAATTTGTGCACAAAATGCAAACCATTCCAAACTCCTGAGTGAATAGACTTTGAAGGAATGAATTTTTGCTGACTTGTATTAATTGAACCAAATCTGCGTTAAATGTGTCGCGATTTTTCTCCAGAAAACCTTTTCAATATAATTAACACACATTTTGAGCGCTATTATTGCGTTATATAATATTACTTTTCATACCTCTGGTGTCATAGAAGACAATTCCTGCGAAATGGTTTAATCCAAATGATTGGTTAATATCGGACTTTGGTTTCAGATAATTTGAATTAAATCCGTGAGTCTTATGAAGTTTGTTGAGTAGAGTTAAATCAGTGCCTTTCGGGAATTTACTTTCTTCGTCTATCAACGCCATAATATTCATGGGTTTGACAGCAATCAAGTCGAGCGCCTCCTGATTGTCGACAAACTCGATGTGTTGCCAATTAATGGTCTCAATGTTGTACTCTTCCTGTTCCAGTTTGAAGATATGTCTCACAAAGAATTGCTGTAAGTTTTCATTGGCATAGTTTATGCAAAACTGTTCAAAACTATTGACGTTAAAGTTCTCGAAACCAAATATATCGAGAACTCCGATGGAAGTCCTGTAGTGATGCGGTGACACACCTTTGGGCTTATAAATGGCTGAATTGATCTTCGATACGATCCACACAAACATACGGCCGTAAATGCCTTTGACGAAGGCGTCCCTCACGTCCAACGATTGCTCGGAACTCATGGTGGAGACGACAGTATCTCCGTGTGCGAAGATTGTACGCGTCGTCAACGCGTCGATCAAATGCTGTTGATTTACTTCTAGTAGTTTTGACGAACTCCCGGCGCTTCCCGTGTTTGTGATTTCAGTGGCGTCCAAGTTATTCATTACCGTTGCTTTTAATGGCAAATACAAATTCATTAATCATATTGAAGTACAAACCATTTGGACAAATGAATGGTTACCTCTAAACTTAATATTTCCCAAATGTAATAAAGCGCTCAATATTTTCAACACTTCCCATATCTCGGGATCGGAAAACATCAACACTTTCATTGCGGACCTGATGTCTGCGAACTCTGCGGCGTCGTCCCGACCCTCGCAGGTGATGGTCCCGCCCTGAGTCAGGTAATAGAACTTAGACGCGTCCTGCAGTTCCAGTTTCTGTTTCTCTTCTTTACTCATTCCGGCCAAAAGACAATAAAATATGTGATAATTCCTCTCATCGGTCGCCTGGCCTACGATTCTCGACTTCTCCAACAAGTATTGGTCAATCTTCGCGCCTTCGATCACTCCTTGTTTATTAAAGTGAATGTCAATGTATTTCCCAAAACGACTTGAATTGTCATTTCTTATTGTCTTTGCATTTCCAAAAGCTGTTTCAAGATATTGCAAACTCTGTTAAATTGTGTTTTAATAAAAAGTAAAGTGTGCATTATATATACCCTCTAATATGGGATTTGCTTCGAGTATTTGCTGTTCAATCCAAGAGTGTTGACCACTAATTGCGGCTAAAAATTGTAGAATAAGTTTTGTGGACTCTGTTTTGCCGGCACCGCTCTCTCCGCTAATGATAATGCACTGGTCCTGACGATAGCGTTTCATATTACTGTAGGCATTGTCTCCGATGGCAAATATATGGGGCGGCAGTTCACCGATCTTGCGGTCTCTGTAGAGCTTAATCTGTTCCACAGTATATATCGGAAGAATTTGGTACGGATTGACCGCCACTAATATAGAACCCGTATATGTCTATTGGGGTTAATAAGAAATATTTAGTTTAGTATAACTTTTTATGAATGCAGTGTTAGACTCACATAAATGACATTTTCGTTATATCTAATCAACAAATTCCTCAGTATTCCGGCCTCATGTAAGTCTCCCAATGAAATCATGTCTTCGACGCCCTGTATGGACGTCGGGTGCATCGCTTTGATGCGGCGCTCGGGTGTTAGCCATTGCTCCTAATATTTGTTAAGTTATTTAAATGACCGAAATATATGTGAACCGAAAGGGCATACCTTAGTGTCGTCGTCGACCACTTGGATCCGTCGTCCCTCAGCCGCTATCACTCGGGCGCCGATCGCGACGTCGAACTCGCGTTTGGTTTGCGGTTCAATCCATATATAATCGCCCTTTAAATCAATTCACATTCACTGTAATTGTTTGCATTCAAATGAATGGTTAAATACATACTCGTGTGACGATAACCATTGCTTCTTATAATTCAGATCTTATTCTTTTGAACTCATTTTTTTGTCATTAAAAGTTATAAAATCTGAAATATATTAAAATATTTATTAGTTTGTAATTAAGCAGAAAACAAAGTCATTGATGACTTGACTTTATAAAAGTATATATCATTTCTGCCAAAAGTCTGTTCAAACATCAGAAAAGTTTTCGAAATTGTAATTAATATAAAGAAATGCAAAAATATTTGTAAAAAATAGTTAAAATAAATGGATTGAAATGAAAACGATAAGAGAAGTGGTGGTGAGTGTCTTGATTGGCAACTTTAAAGCCAAGGTTATAGTGTGTGGTGAATGTGGTGGTAGTGATGGTCACTCACCAAAAATAGTTAAAATAAATGGATTGAAATGAAAACGATAAGAGAAGTGGTGGTGAGTGTCTTGATTGGCAACTTTAAAGCCAAGGTTATAGTGTGTGGTGAATGTGGTGGTAGTGATGGTCACTCACCTCCTCTTAACTCATTTCTATTCAAATACATGTTTATTACATGTTATTATTGAGAACTTCCAATACTATATATAACATATCATAAAACTCTTATATTTGCACTTAAAGTAACTTTAAATGTCTCACGAATTTAATTGATATAATGGCAGAACAGGTATGAGAAACAAAAGTTTGGTCCGAAATGAAGTCTTACCGACAAATTGTCAAATGAAATGGCGAACCGAGAGTTGGGTTTTACAAAACTGATACAAAAAAATAGTTTCAAACAACACTTGAGACAAGTTTAAGAAGTGATGAGTTGTTTACATCGATAATCGCTATCCATATAAATAGTTGGGCAGAGAAGGAGTGCGTTAATTATATTTGCAAAACACAATTAAAAGCGATACTAAAAAATGAGTGAAATGTTTGGTCGACAGGAGTGTAGGAGAGAAGTGAGCGATTGCTGTCACCAGACGTATAACAATTGCGAGACAATACGTTACCTATAGGTTACCTATTGGTTACCTGCCCTCTACCTAATGCCGCATTCTATCGCATTCAACAGGTAGGCTGTGCTCTCTCACTCTGTCACAGACTGTACACCACAACTACTATACACCACTTCAACACAACTACTACTCCTCTATCGCAATCATCTCTCTCTTACCTCCACTGCCAACAGTCCCAAACACTTCTCTCCCTCTCTCTCTCCCACCACCACTCCATCAATACATTAAATTTACTTACATTTCAATCATTTGCTTCTAAACCCCGTTTAAATCGCTTTACAAATAAAATATTCAACAGTTAACAACAATTTGTGTAACTTTTGATGTGATTAGAAATGAGTATTAACTTTGATGAAGACTATTTCAAATGAGGCACAAAACAATATATGAGATTAATTGTATTAATTTTGAGTTATGTTCTTAATCTCTGTTGACTTTTGATACCATTTATCAAAACATTCAATTCATTGCAACTTATTGTGAATCAAAGCCAAATTCAAGTGCTATTTAATCAACAATTTATTATAGTCTAAATCACTTTCACTCCGAGTGACGAACGCTTTTTGGTTTTATCGCACGAATTAAAATTAAACACAAAGTTTTGTTTGTTTTAAATTAATATTTTAATAATCAAAATATAGAAAATAAAAATCTTAAAATTAAAGAAACATTTGATTAATAGTTAATTAATTAAAATAATTAGAAAACGTATGGCAAGAAGGGGTAAACCCATGGTATGAGTGGATTGAGTGGCGACACACCTCAGGTGAGGACCGGTGAGCCATATATCCTTCCGGCAGGTATTGTATTATTGGTACCTGTTTTGCATCCATTATATCATTTCCATCTCAATCCCATCGCTTTAAATATATATAAAACTATTTTTACAATTTCTATCAGTTTTTTTTACATTTTTAGCTTTTTGGGGCACAAAATGTGACGTAAAAATACCTCAACTAATAGTTTCAATGATTAAAGTATTTAATAACGATATGAATATAACTATAACATAAACTGACGACAAATATAATCATTTTTGAGTAAAATAAAAGAGAAATCCAAATGATGTGATATTTAACAAATTGTTAGGCAATTAGTAATCGAAGTAAATATTTCTGCCAACAGTTAAGGCAATATTTCAATACTTGTATACATGTATTTCATGTGGAGTTAAAAAGTTTTGTTACGTCCCATAGCTATGAAACAAAATAAAAATATTGTTAAAATAGAGTAATTTGGTTACAATTGAATTGATTGCATTACTTTAATAATACGATCGGCGCCACACGTCAGCGCCTGACCACGAGATTCGTCGACATCCAAATGCATTACACAGTGTTTGGTGTCGTGATATGTTGCCAGAGATACACGACTTGCAAATCAAAATGTATTCACACTATCAGTTAGATTGCAATTCAATAAATATCAATATAATACTCACTCAGCGTCAGTGATAACGCTATGGCACTCATCACAGACTCGGACATCGAATTCATATCCCATTAGAGGAATAGTACTTCTATTGGAACTGCAGGCGTCGCAGACAGCTTTGCCACAGCGCCGGCAGTGGTGCTGATTGTTTGATACAAAATAAATCAGTAACTGATTGTCACAATTTAGTAATCAAATGTCACCTGTCGTAAGCCAATGGTCTTCTGGTCGTACATCGACTTAAGGTTCCAGAAGAATGGTCTTTGACAGCGTTGACAATTGTCATTTTCAGCCCATTCAGGAGTCTATAATACAACCAATCTTTTAGACTTTTAAAATAAATAAAAACTTATTTAAACAATTACTTCATTGCGTTTAGTATTCATATTCCACGAGACAATCATATTATCTTCTGCTGAAGACAAGAGTCGCTGAGATGTGTTTGAGAAGTAAAAAGATGTCACTTTATTACTGCAAATATCATAATCATTATATATTTGTAAACAATAATAATGTTACAATGAATGACATACTGATGGCCCTGTAGTTCAAAAGCAGTGCCTTTTTTGCCGCCGATATCCCAGCAAATGATCATTTTGTCAAAACCGCCCGAAAAGAGCATTTGTTTTGTGGAATTCCAGGCCAGACATCGGATGGCAGCCGAGTGTCCCTTCAATGTAGTGATGGGTTTGAATGTTGTTTCTTCAATCTTCAACATTGTTATGATTCCGTTATAATCGCCAACAAACGCGTGCTTCGACTGCATATCAAACCTATTGTCAATCAAACAATCAATTAAACTCATTATCTCTTATACTGAATGTCTGATAAGAGTATTACTCACTGAAGAGCAGTGACCCAACTGCTGCAAACAAACGCGTGCTTCGACTGCATATCAAACCTATTGTCAATCAAACAATCAATTAAACTCATTATCTCTTATACTGAATGTCTGATAAGAGTATTACTCACTGAAGAGCAGTGACCCAACTGCTGCACAGATAACCGCCGAGTCGTCGGCCGGTCTCAGAGCAGTGCCAAACCAAATACTTGTCGCGACCGCCGCTTAACACCCATTCGGTGACCAAAGAGAAGACAACAGAAGTGACTCTGTTTTGATGCGCCAAATAGTTTCTCTGATGAACGATACGGTTGTAATCGTCGGCCACAGAGAACTCCGAAACGGATCCGTTGTCCAGACCTACAAACAGACGCTTCGTTTCGTGATTGAAGTCCATACAGGAGGCAGAGGCTGTCCGTCGACACACATGAGGTATACAATTATCATTAGACCATTGGATACAATGAAAACATGTGTTCAAATACCCGGAAGAATGTGACAAACAGAAGGCCAATACCCGCCGGCGTCTCTCTTAAGCCAAATGCGAACAGTTCTTCACAAAGAGGGAGACAATCATTGATTACGTTATCATGTATTGAATGGCAATCAATGGGACACAACTGAGTCTTACTTATCGTCACTAATACTGATGACTCCGTCTTCGTGTCGAAGAATGGCCGCCATATTAACCACGTCTTGATGTCCCTCTAGTTTCGACAATAATTGCATTTTATTGGATCCGATCGAAGAGTCAGCAAAGGGTCGGATTTCAGCAGACATTGCCTTTCGTTCATTCACTACAAGCGATGTCCAAATATGGATCAATTCAAGTGATCGCCAACTATAACAACAAACACCACACAAATTAATATTCAAAATACCATTCAATGAGTGAATCAATCATTAAAATAGACCTTAAATTTAAATATAATTATTAATAATTAATGAATGAATGAATAAATAGTGAAATAATCCGTAAATTACAGTAAATGTGAGCGAATGTGATGTGAATGTAATGGCAGTGAATGTATTGAATGATTGAATGGATTGAATGGCAAATCAAAGTGTTTATCAAATGTTTGTTTCAATGTTTGTCTCAAATATGATAAACAAATGAATGAATTGTTGTTTCAGTCAATCATTTCACACAACATATGATTTCTATCATAAGAGCAATCGTTCACTGAATCACTCATTCAATGCATTCACAAATAGTGTGACCATTGGTTCCATTGGTTCTACATTTCCGACACACAAAACATTAATATTACGCAATATTAATGCATTTATTGATTACATTAGAAAGTTAACCATGGTGTTGAAATGCACTATATCATACCTGTACATGTGTACATGTATACATTTACACCAATTTAATATAATTATACTAAAACTGTGTATAACTGTTAAAATATAAATTGAATGAAATTTGAATAATTTAAATTAATTATTTAAAGTTTGATAAATAAAGTTATTGTAAACATGTTTATTACCAGAATATAAATTAGAAATAATATGACTTTTGATTGTTTTTCTATTATTAAAAATTGTGTTATTTATTGCGTGTAATAACTGTATTCAGACATTGTTTTAATACTTATAATAAGGATTTTCAGTCATTTATTGTATTTCAACGATAGATGAAGAATTGGATATTTTCTGTCAAAATCAATATTTTTTATTAAAAATATTTTATTAAAATTTATTATGAATTAAGCTATAACGTTGGCGTTTTTTACTTTTTTTTATAAGCCTAAAACTTTTTTAAGGTTATAACTTACAATGACTATAATAGTTAATAAATAGAGAATAGATTAAATATTTTGTTTGTAATTCCGATATCGTTACATAAGTTAATTATAAACCATATTACCATGTTACTAGTTATTTTTGATTTTTTAAGCAATTTTTAAATTTATTTGAATTATTTTTAAAAGAAGAAAATTTAATTATTTGAATCGCAAGATTTATCGATTGAAAATTGAGTCAAAACAGTTAAAGTACCTCAAAGAACATTAACTGTAATATTGCAAAATATATGAACAGATAAACGGTTCTACATTTGAGTTGTGCACATGAATGTGAATTAGAATTGTGGCTAAACACAAACCTTGTCCATAAGTACAGTCAACCACTTTCGGCTCATACGGCAAACCCTTATTTACTACTATTTCCAAAGCAGAACATTGAGCCGAAAGTGGTTGACTCGATCTATAAAGAATGAATTACTATTATAAAACAGTTATAAATAATTGAAATTAAATTTATTCTACAAATATTATGGGAAAACTCAATACATTTGATATAATGGAGTAAATAAGGAAGAATTCGTTGTAATGTATTCTAACATTAATTCATTGAA